TATATATAGATATATATATATATATATATATATATATATATATATGTATATATATATATATATATATATATATATATATATATATATATATATATATATATATTTATATATATATATATATTTATATATATATATATATATATATATATATATATATATATATATATATATATATATATATATATATATATATATATATATATATATATATATATATATATATATATATATATATATATATATATATATATATATATATACAGTGCATCCGGAAAGTATTCATAGCGCTTAACTTTTTCCACATTTTTGTATGTTACAGCCTTGGTATGGTATTTGAATTTTTCTGGTTTTTTATTTTAAACAAATTTGCAGCAATTTAAAAAAATCTTTTTTTTTTTTTTTTTGGAATAATATTGACCTTAAATTGGTTTTTAAAAATTGAACTAAAAACTGCTTTGATACAAGCCAAAATAATACAAAAAATATTTCAGAAGAAATATTTTCCAGAAGAAAAAAATATTAAATTAATATTAGGCAATACAGTGAAAAATATATATATAATTATTCTTATAAAAACTGAACTGGACAACCGATCATGCTAACATTTGCAAAGAAAATAAATTGCCCTATCCTTTCTCTATGTTGACCAAAAAGTTAATCTATGTAAGACGCAACACACTTCATTAACAAGCAAAACATGACCTGAAGTCAAAAAGCAAAAGTTTGGAGCTAAATGATGCTAATCGAGGCCTTTTTTAGCCTGCCATTACAACAGTAACCCAGTACAACCTCTCTAATATAATGGGGCACAGTGTGTGACCTGTATCTGCATAAATTGGCAGCACCAGGAATTAGTTTATAATGTCCATGGCCAAATCATGTGAGCAATAACAACAAGGCTGTGTGGGCGCGCAGTGCTGAAGCAGCGAGCTGGATGTCTTTGCATGCACACAGAGCCGGAGAGACGTATACTTGAATCGTCCTTTATGTTCTTAATTCTAAAACAAGGTACACAAGCTGGCTAATATGAAATTTTGGGAAAGTCTAAATATAACCGGAGCGTGTTGCCCAGAGCACGGCCTTTTAAAATGGCTTTCAGCAGACTGAGGAGTAATCAACCTATTTCATACTGTTTACAGCTTGTAAATGATGTTTAATCGACATTTGCTCATCATTTACTCACTCTCGAGTGGTTCTGTAACTTTGAGTGTCCTTTTTGCTGTTGAACACAAAAGAAGATATTTTGAAGAATGTTGGAGACCTGTAACCCCTGACTTCCATAAAAGGAAAAACATATTATGGAAGTCAGTGGTTACAGGTTTCTGACATTCTTCAAAATAATTTATATTAGAAGATATTTAGAAGAATGTTTGAAATTTGTATCCATTGTCTTCCATAGTAGGAGAAACAAATACTATGGAAGTCAATGGTTACAGGATTCTAACATCATACTATCTTTTATTCTGCCATTTGATGAATGGCAGAAACCTGTAACCATTGACTTCCATAGAAGGAAAAACAAATCCTATGGAACTTAATGGTTACAGGTTTCTGACATCCATCAAAATAATGTATATTAGAAGATGTTTTGAAGAATGTTGGAAATCTGTAACCATTAACTTTCATAGTAGGAAAAACATACTTTGGAAGTGAGCGGTTATAGGTTTCTGACATTCTTTAAAATAATTAATATTAGAAGATATTCTGAAGAATGTTGGAAATCTGTAACTATTGACTTTCATAGTAGAAGAAACAAATACTATGGAAGTCAATGGTTACAGGTTTTTGACATCCATCAAAATAATTTATATTAGAAGATATTCTGAAGAATGTTGGAAATTTGTAACCATTGTTTTCCATAGAAGGAGAAACAAATACTATGAAGGTTAGTGGTTACAGGTATCTGACGTTCTGTAAAATAATTTATATTAGAAGGTATTTTGAACAATGTTGGAAATTAGTAATCACTGACTTCTATAGTATATATATATATATATATATATATATATATATATATATATATATATATATATATATATATATATATAGAGAGAGAGAGAGATATATATATATATATATATATATATATATATATATATATATATATAGAGATAGAGATACATACACACACACACACTCACTCTCTCTGTCTGTCTCTGTCTGTCTATGTATATATCTATCTCTATAAAACTCACATATATATATATATATATA